CATCTTGCACCACGGAGCAGCTCGGATTCCCTCACCCCTCGAGACCGCCCCTTCAGCCGCTACTGAGGAGCTGTTTCCGGCGTTTCCTTGACGAATTCTCGCGACAGTTCACAGTAGGCAAGAACCGGAAGGGGCGGAGCGCTCCCCGTGAGCCTTAGCGGCGCTACCCGCTTATCTGCATACGAAGTGTGAGGTCATTATCATTCTCTATTCTACCCCCCACCCCCCGGACAAATAAAACGAAAAGCGACATAAAATATTAAGTAGTATTAAGATCAACTTTAAAGGGACGGGGATCTCAGTTCAACGGTCAACTTTTGCACTCACCGTAGCACTAATGAGATTCGGAATCACCATGTAGCGAGGAACGGACGAGTCCCCTTTATGCCTTAAACTTATGAGTAAGGAAAATAACGATTCGGGGTGACGCCCGAATCCTCACTGCTAATGTGAGACGAATTTTTGAGCGGGTAAAGGTTGCCCCTGAGGTGACCCGCCTACTTTGCGGGATGCCTGGGTGCTGCGATCTGCCCGACCCCCTCACGCTTAAAGGACAGGCTGGTGGGAAGGCAGAGGACAAACTGGGGAGCTGGTGTCTGTCTGTTGGGCAACCTCGAGACAGCGGCACCCAGTAGGCGCTCTCTTTGTGGCGTCTTAAGAGGCAGTGCTTGCCGGGGTGACAAGTGGAGGGCCGCCTGGCTCAGTCCCAGAGCCACACTTGGCCCTGCAGATGCAAATAGCTTAATGCTTTATGAGCTGTTTATTATTTTCTTAGTCCAACACTGCGAGTGGAGTTATGTACTCTTTTTTTTTTTTTTAATTGTGACATTGGCCCTAGCCGGTTTGGCCCAGTGGATAGAGCTTCGGTCTGTGGACTGAAAGGTCCCGGTTCGATTCCAGTCAAGGGCACATGCCCAGGTTACCTGCTCGATCCCCAGTAGGGGGCGTGCAGGAGGCAGCCAATCAATGATTCTCAATCATCATTGATGTTTCTCTCTCTCCCTCTCCCTTCCTCTCTGAACTCAATAAAAATGTATTTTAAAAGTATGAAAAAGTCCACTTTTTAAAAAAAATAATAAGTTGTGACTGGTTAATGAGTTGTGTGCACTTGACAGAACATCACACTACAATTAAAAATCTGGCATCAGGCCCAACTGGGGTGGCTCAGTGGTTGAGTGTCAACCGACCTATGAACCTGGAGGTCACGGTTCAATTCTTGGTCAGGGCACATGCGATGTTGCGAGCTCGATCCCCAGTGTGGGGTATGCAGGAGGCAGCTGGTCAATGATTCTCTCCCTTCTTCTCTGAAATAATCATTAAAAATCTGGCACCAGAAGCTACATGGAAAAACTGGGCAAGAGCTGGTAAGGAAAGCCAGAGGGTCTGGCTTGGGCACCAGACAGAGGGGAATCCAGGTCCCACCTGGGCAGCTGTGATTGGGTGCTGGCTGGCCTGCCTTTTCTCAGCTGCCAACAGTGGCCACTATCCCCCTCCCTCCCAGGGGTGCAGAAGGGAGGCCCAGGTTCCGCCCCAGCCGGGGCCAGCTGGACCATGGCGGGCAGGTGCAGAACCAGGAAGCAGCCAGAGGGTGCAGGAGTTAAAGCCCTGTGGTGCCTTAAGTGAACGGTATAAAAGTCACTGCAATGATTTTTAAAAGCCAGCACAACAGGGTCATTCACTGAGATCAACTTATTCTGGGATTCTCAGCGGGGTGCGCCCCAGGGGCATTTCCGAGCTTTGCGGAGTCCTGTTTGGTTGTCCAGAGGACAGAGATCCGGTCACGTGGAGGTGGGACAGTCTCCCTTTTGAAGTGGTTGTTTGCGGCAGCAGTCTCCGGTGTTTACCTATGCCGCCATCTTGGTCTCTCCGCTGCAATGATTTTTAAAAGCCAGCACAACAGGGTCATTCACTGAGATCAACTTATTCTGGGATTCTCAGCGGGGTGCGCCCCAGGGGCATTTCCGAGCTTTGCGGAGTCCTGTTTGGTTGTCCAGAGGACAGAGATCCGGTCACGTGGAGGTGGGACAGTCTCCCATCCCCAGCGACATTCCTGGAGCTGAGAGGCCGGTTGCGACTGAGCCAGGCTTCGCTCCAATTCTTGTATGAATACGCGGGACTTTTGTCCAGAGTGAAAAACATGGACTTGCCAGGAAGGTAGCTGCGCAGGAGCCGAGGAACTGGGTCCTGCTTTGTTTGGAAATTGACCAGGAATTGTGCCCGCCTGGGAGTCTGGGAGCCTGGCTGCAATGGGGCTGAGACAGTTCAGGGGCCTGGCATTTGGGCAAACCCTGACCGAACCCCATTTTATAAATTCCCTTTCTTTCTTGCTCTTTTATAACGTAGTTAGAGCTGTGTGTGTGTTTAAATTCTGTACAGACTAGTGATATTACCTGTGAATTCACTTCTCAGGTCTGAGAGGGTGAAGAATCACTGACCTAGTTCATGTACCCATTTTACAGGTGGGGAAACTGAGACCAGGAGAGAGGGGAGACCAGATGCAATTCATGCCCTTCTTCCCTGCTCCAGGAGACAGCTTCCAGCGGCTCAGGCAGATGTGCGTTCAGACCCTGACCCTCAGGCCCGTTTTCTCACCCTCCAGATGGAGGCAGGAATGAGGAGACCGACTGTGTATCCGGTGCTCAGCAGAGCCCAGCACACAGTGGGTGTGAAGGGCCATGGGGGCCTGGGGTTCCCAGGTCAGTCCCTCTCCTGCCCACTGGAGACAGAATAGAAGGTGAGAGGAGAGGAAAAAGGGACGCTCCTTTTCCTGTTAACTCCCCCATCTCCTCCTCTTCCCTCCTCCACTCCAGCCACACTGACCTTTACCATGTTCCCTGCGCCTCCCAGCAGGTCCCTGCCCCAGGGCCTTTGCACTTGCTGGTCACTCCGATCCAACCTCATCTGCATTATCACCTCAGCCACCTGCCTCCTCTGATCTGCCTCGGAAGTCTATTCTACAAGCTTGTTCTGACCACAAGGGCTCTTTGCTTGCTGTTCCCACCACCTCAAACACCTACCCCAGCAGGGCGGATCCTTCCCGCCACATCCCCGCAGGTCATCTCCTGGCAGGGCTTCCCTCCCCGGCATTTACCACCACCGCTTCCTTGCCTGGTGCCTTGCTCACTAGCTGCCCAGGAGCAGGGAGGCGCGCGTGGGGGCAGCCAGAGTCCCCAGCACGTGGAGCGGCTGGTGAGATGGGTGCGGAAACCAGTGAGCGCCTTTCTCCGTGGAGCCTTCCACAGGGCAGGACACCCGCCTCACCAGGCCCCACCTCCAACCCCAAAGCCACTGCTTGCTGAGCCTGTCTCTGCAGCAGAACTGGGGCTAATGGCTCCGCCCTGCTTCCCTCGGGGGCTGTCGGGCGGAGAGAACTAACAGGAAGCCCCTGGGACAGGCGGAGAGCCCAGGACAGACCTGAGGTCCCGCCGGGCCTCACCTCGGGGATTGGACATGAACAGGAAGGGCACGCGGGGAGTTTAAGTGCTGGCCTCCCGGGGTCCAGCCCCAGCCCGGCCCCTGCCCCCAGGAATCTGTCCTAGAAGACAGCCTGGAAGGAGGTGAAGCAGCCAGTCACTCACAGAATCCACCAACTGGAAACAGCTGACTGTCCGACCGCGGGGTCCTGGTGAGTGAGGACAGGGAGCCCCCCACTCCCCCCGGCATCGGGGAAAAGCAGGGCCACTCGGCGGCGCGTGTGGCGTCACCGGTCACCAGCGCCGGCCTCAGGGGCGGGTGTTTTCCCGGGTACTTTCCTGCACTAAGAGCCAGGCCCGCGCAGCCTGTCCCCTCCTGCCCCCCCCACAGGGACACAGGTCACAGCTCAGGGAGCCACACGAGGGTTACCATTAGCCAAGTTTTATTTCAACGTTTTTTCTGCTCATAAATGACTCTGAAAAAGCTGATACGCAAGAGGCTAACCCACTGCTGTCTAAAGGCAACGACGCGGCCACTGAGAATGTGGCGCGGACAAGAGGCTCTGCTAAGTCTCCCCCACGCAGGGCGGGGCGCAGGCAGCAGGAGGGCGGGTCGGGGCAGAGGAAGAAATAAACGTTAGCTCTGTCCTCCCTCTGCCGTCAGGGCTGGGGCCCAGGACCCTGAGGTGGTCGCTCTAACCACCGAGCCCACAGCTTGGAACTCCCAAAGCTGCCCAGCGTCTGGGTGCGTTGGGGAAGATGTGGAGGCTCCGGGAGGGGCCGTGTGCCAGCCGGGGGCCCTCAGCCGGCCCCTCCTCCCAGCGCCGGGCG